ATAGATAGATAGATAGATAGATAGATAGATAGATAGATAGATAGATAATGGATGGATAGATGGGTAACTAGTTGATAGATAAATAGATAGATGTTAAATAGCTCCATAGCTATCTATGGAGAGAGGGAGAGAGGGAGAGCGAGAGGGAGGGAGGGAGGGAGAGAGAGAGATAGCTTGAGAGAGAGAGATGGAGAGGGGGGGGCAATATAAAAGGCAAATGTATTTCGATGAGTGATATATTTTGATTTCTACTTCATATTAAGAAAAGTTGAAGCTGAGAACTTATTCTACTTGTTTAACCTGCTCATTTTCACTCTTGCTTGATGAATAAGGGGAGAGGGAGTCTTCACACATCTGCTGATAACTTTGTCTTACTTGACTTGATTCCCATCCCAGAATTATCTAGTGAAGACTAGGGCTTCTAATCTTGTGACCACGTAAGAAGGATCATGAAGTCCTGGTGCTATGTTTTAATAAAAATACTGCCCATTAAGCTGAGATTCTGCATAGACTTGAACTCAGAGCTGTGTAATCATGGCATATGGGTCTCTCCACAGCTTGAAACAGGGTTCCCAACAGCTGAAGGGAGAACACCCTAATTAATATGTTGAGCTTGCTTGTCTTTTCATTTAATTTCTACCAGAATTAAAACAATAAAGCTCGAAATCTCTTCACTTTGTGATGTATTCATTGTCTCTGGATTCTCAAAGAATCAATCTCTGGCACCTTGCCACTGCCTGACACTTGGCAAAACAATAGGTCAAATTATATCTCTCATCACATAATTTATCATTGATATTTTAAAGAAAATAAATAATGCACATTGATTGGTGTTAGAGTGATCTAATGGTAAATAATTAATCCTTTACGAATTTAAATAAAACAAGATGGGTTGACTTTCCAAGGCAGCTGATCATTCCACAACTACTGCAGGTCACCTTATTTCTGGAGATGCTTCTCAGTTTTCACTGCTCACCAATCTGATTCTTATGTCTCTTTCTCTTCAGACTCAAGAATCCAACCGAAGTGGAAACAATACAGCTGCCCGAGAGAACTCCAGGCTGGCCCGCATATTTATCTATTGTGCAGTTGGCGTTGGAATCATTTTGTGGACTCTGTACATCACCTTAGCTATACGCCACTCCTAGACTTCCAACTATTAGACACCAAAGTCAAGTCCATTAAAACATCAGGCATTACCTGAGGCTCTTATCATACAACTTTACCCCAAAGCCTTAGTTGGGGGTAACGTTGTCGGCATCATTCCATTCATATGCACATGAACTGACTTGATGACCAGCAGTGGAGCATGAGAATTTCGAAGTCTTGCACCTGAGTCAACTTTTAACATTCTGAAAGTTCTCCTTAGCAGTAACCCATCCACATCAAGTGATAAGTCTCATGTGTGCTGCAACTCTATGATATCAAAAGATCTCCAGATGAAGGTTGTAGAAGGTCCATTGGTTACCTGGAACAATATCAATATCAATATTTAGCCAGGGTTATTAGTTTGTTTCTTACATGTATGTAATTTATATTTCATCTGGCACTTCGAGATCTAATCTGTGGCTGGATTTTCCTCTCCCTTTTGTTTATCCCCAAAACATCAATGCTGTGACAGCGCACAATCATGCAATCTGCTCTACAGTCAAAACATGAAATTGAATTTGGGTCTTCCTTGTCCAGCATCTTAACTGCTACACCAGACTGGGCCTTTTGTTCAATAAACTGATCAATTACCTTCTTATTGTGAAGGAAAAGAATGGAATGGCCTTAGTACAGGGCTAAGATCTTGGCAACTTTAAGACTTGTGGACTTCTACTCATAGAATTCCCCAGCCAGCTGGCTGGAGAATTCTGGGAGTTGAAGTACACGAGTCTTAAAGTTGCCAAGTTTGGAGACCTCTACCTTAGTGTGAATTTCAGCCAATAACAGAATATTTTTTTTCATTCATCTGTCCATTTTTTTTTTCATTTAATTCTAGACTTGGTCTTTAAATGGTGGGCTTCAAAATGACCATTTGAATTAACTTACATAAGCTTAATCACAATTAGTTAAATGAAATATTTCCTACATATTTGAGCATTTCCCCTCTAGCCCCATAACATTTCAGCACTAACTTTCCCAGGGATTTTCAGAGCTATCTTCAAGGATCCAACCTAGTGAGGAAATTAAATTTCCTGAAGATGTTTGGGACTACAGCTTGTACGATCGTTACCCATCCAAATATCTGGACAGCTCCCACTTGCTCTCTAGTGCTCTTGTCCAGCCAACCCAGCTTCTCTTATTCAACTGTAATTCTCTTCAACATTTCATAGATGAAAACAAGAGATCTTTTACCTTAATCTCTAGATGGCTTGGCCCCTTAATATTCATGCAAATGAGTGAGATCTGGGGCTGTTGATTCTGCAAAAGACTTTCATTAGCTACTTCGAGCACTTCTTGGCACTATATCAATCAATAAATCTATGCTGTCAAACTGCTGTGATTTTTATTTCCTGATACCTTTCCAATGAGTTGCTTGGATTCTCCACATTGCAAGAGAGAAGGAAAGTCCCCATTTTTTTTTTACTGCAATGAAGAACAAATATTCAAATGCCTTAAATATATTGCACAGCAACACTCAAAATTCATCAAATGAAGACCTATGCCATAAACTAGACTTCTTCAGCACCTAGTTCAACATATTAGAATACTCCTTAATTTTTTAGTTATAGTCTCCCACATACTAATCTTTTATACTGCCCTACACCAATCAAATCCTCCTATCCCTTCTTTTAATCACTGTTGGACTCTTGATTTTTAAGAGAGACTTTTGGTTTCATGCAAGGAAAGCAGCAAAAGCAGCAGAAGCCTTCCTTTCTCTCCCCCAAACTCTGCCAGAAATGAGTCTTTGCCAGTGCAGCCTCTTGGAGCAGGATGCCTTGCAGGGTCCAAAGACTCATTTCTGGTGGAATTTGGGGGAGGGAAAGAAAGACTTTTGCTGCTTTCCTTACATGCAACCAAAAGCAGAAGAAGAAAGAAGCGGAAAGAAGCAGCCCGGTGGCCAGGCTAGGCATGTGGGGCGAGTGGGGCAAGTTCCCGCCTTGCGCCCTTTCCTCCCTCCCCTCACTACCTTGTGTTGTTCACAATGCAAGCAACGCAAGCCTCGTGTTCCCACGGTCTATGTGGACAAGCGCAGCCTTGTGTTCCCGCGCAGCCTGGATTAATTGCTTTGGGGATGACATTTCTCTGCGGACCACCAAAATTGTCTCACAGACCACCAGTGGTCCCCGGCCCACTGGTTGGCGACCACTGCTTTGGAGAATAGCTTGACTCCCTCTTCTTTGAAGCACCCCTGAGATATTGGAACACTGCTATCATGTCTCCCCTGGTCCTTCTTTTCATCAGACTAAACAAACCCAGTTCCTGCGACCGTTCTTCATATGTTTGAGCCTCCAGTCCAGAAGTGGTATTCAGCAGTTTCTGACCAGTTCTGGAGAATTGGTAGTTGAAATTTTGAATATTTCAGAGAACCAGCAAATACCACCCCTGACTGGAGATTTTACAGTATCCTTCCCCTGCCATGCCCACCAAGCCATGTCCACAGAACCGGTAGTAAAAAAAAATTGAATCCCACTACTGCTCCAGTCCCCTAATCATCTTTGTTGCTCTTCTCTACACTCCTTCTAGAGTCTCAACATCTTTTTCTTTTTTCATTCCACCCTCGTTATGCTGCATTATGTCCACCATGAAAATTTGACTTGAATGCCTTAAAGCAGCTGTGTTGTTGTTTTCCCCCCAGCTTCCTGGAAAGCTGCTTCTTGAAGCATCTGGGAAACGATGCAGCTGCTTGAAAGCATCACAGACAAGCTCTTCATCTGCGTTGCCACACCCAATTCAAGGTGCTTAAGGAAGCTACAATAGTCCCAAGGTTGTTTTTCATACCGGAAATCTTACTCTGGGATTTTCCCAGGTCCCCATAAATTAAACATTTGACATTTACTGCAATTCTTGTGGCCAAAGACAACATTTCTGGATTTGCCTACTGTGAGTTCCTGGTAGTCTCTTTGAGTTTTGCTTTCTTGCGAACATTTCATTACCAAACTAGGTAACAATATCTGCCTGTCTTTATTTCTTGGCAAATAGGGTTACTTTCCTCAGCTTCAGTCTTCTATTTGGAATAAGGGGGGAATTAATCCCAATTACTTCATTACCCTGGGGGGAAAAAACCTTCCCCTTCCGTGGCTTTTATTTTTTTTAGGTGATATCCCAAAGTGGTTTGCCCTTGCCTCTTTCCCAAGGCTGAGGGAGAGTGGCTGGCCTAAGATCACCAGTTGACATTTTGCCTAAAACAGAACTAGAACTCATGACTTCTCAGTTTCTAGCTGAATGCCTTAAATGTTTTGAGAATTTTATTTTATTTATTAGATTGTTATCCCGTCTTTATTGTTTTTAGAAATAATTCAAGGCAGCAAACATACCTCATACTCTTTCCTCCTCCTTCTCCTTTTTTCCCTACCAGAACAGCTCTGTGGGCTGGGCTGGGCTGAGAGAGGGGAATTGGTGCAAAGTCAACCAGCTGGCTTTCCTGCCTAAGGCAGGACTAGAACTCATAGTAACCTGGGAATTGGCCCAACGTTATCCAGACAGCTTTCATGCCTCAAGCAGGGCTAGAATTCCTGGCCTCCCTGTTTCTAGCCAAATACCTTAAACTCAGTGAAAATATTTCAGCACAATTCCTTCCCTTTTCATTGCTTCTGTTTCCTTGGAACATACTGTATTTTCTTTTCCTCGTGCATCATGAGAGTCATCCCACCAGTTTTCAATTGAATGCTCTCATATTTTCTTCCTGCAGTAAGGGTTCAAATCTTATCTTGTTTATGAATTATGGAAAATCGTGGAATGACTGGGCTGCATTTACACAACATGCTCAGGTCTAAATCCATCCTAGGAAAGATGCAACTACAATCCAAAAATCCTTGCTAAGAAAACAGCAGGGACTTGTTCAGGCAGTCACCAGAGAAAGCTCAGCAATTAGGATATATATTATAGTGTAGTGTAGTGTAGTATAGTATATCATATATTGTATTATATTGCATGATATGATATGATATGATATGATTTGATATGATATGATATGATATATGATATATTATATTATATTATATTATATTATATTATATTATATTATATTATATTATATTATATTATATTATATTATATTATATTATATTATATTTATTATATTGCATGATATGATATGATATGATATGATTTGATATGGTATGGTATGGTATGGTATGGTATGGTATGG